GAATTTGAAAATCGATACATGACAGATCCTCATTCCAGTAATCACAGTGGCGATACATCAGAGGGAAGCACAGGGGATCTAGAACAGAGCAATGGCAGAAGCAGCAGCGTCTGGAGGAACCCACAAGCTTTGTCCAAGACAAGATATATGGACGACTCTGATATTGAGGAAGGGCTAAGCCTGCACTTTGCTGATGTCCATCAGAAGGATGAAGATGATAGACACCTGGTCATGGATCATCAAGATCCCGCGCCAGCTGGTCTTCCAGTAAGAATAATACCTAGAAGCAGTGACCCTGTGTAAGCTGGTTAAACTCCACAGGATTAGTTGGTGCATGTTAACGGTTGTAATTTGTCGTTTGAACCACATCAGAATTCAGAATCAAATGGTGCGTCTCGCCCATAAACTGGCAAAACAGCCACAGATTCTTTTGTACAGGTCAGTAACTTAAGTGTATATATACTATATAGCCCCCTCCGGCTCCGTCCAGGGCGGGTATGATAGAAACATTCTTTTACAAGTTAGAAGGGTGCTTGGTAGCTGCAACATAAGTGCTGTAAAACTTCGGAAGCGTTCGTGACTTGGTTTAGGTCTTGCACAAGTTGCAGCATTGAAATGCAGAACTTGAATAACCTAGCAATTGCTATCCGTTTTTTTCCTGGTGTAGCTTTTAGTGCGTCGTAGATCTACAGTTATGGAGACACGGATGTCGGCGGGGCGATCGGCTTAGCTTATTTAGCATTAATTTTTAGTCATAGAATAATATTTTTCTCTCGCAACATTTCAGCATAAGCGAACAGGGCTGCCGGAATCCTTTGCCCTTGGCAGTTCGGCAGCAGGATGAGCGAAGCAATTCCTCTGCGCCTGTCATTCTGCCATGAAGTTTGCTGTTTCAGGGCACAAGAAGTCGTTGGCACGGTGATTCTGCTGTCCTAGAGCCAGACAAGGAGCTTCCAGCTTTAGCTTTCTTGTCGCTCTCGAGATCGTTGTCCTTACCCGTTTTGGTAGGTGTGAAAGTAGGTTTCGTACGCACGCAACAAGGTCGATAGTCGATACCAAAGCTCTCGCAGCTATAGAAGCAGGCAGGCTGGAGCAGCAGGGCTCTGGAATTCCAGGGCAGACAGACCGGCCACACGTCACACGAATGAAGGTGACCCTGATCAGCGGATTGCTACCAGTAAGTCGGTAACTGTTCATGGTAAACTGCTTCATTGTAGTAGATCTCCAAACACACAATCTGGAGAGAGAAAAAATGGTGCAACATTGATATAAATAATAAAGTTTCATTCCCTGTAAGGAATGATGTGCAAAATAAAAGCTCTTTTGTGTCAGAGGAATCATCTCAATTTTGAAAACCACTTCGTCGCAATTCGGAAAACTCTGCTCGTTGCATCCAGGCATGCTGAAGATCCCCATTTCCGTACCACGGGCTGTAGTGGTTGCCAAGGACCACTCCAGAGGGTCCTCTCGCCCTGCTGTCAGCTTGGCTTTGATTAATTGTGATGATGGCGGTCGTAGCCGCCCCCCCGCACAAGCACACCGAACCCATTCTCACACAGGATGGTTTCCCGCACGTTTTGCTCCCCAATCCCCATGGACTCCACCACAATCAACCACCCGTCGTTTTCGCGGATTCAAACCGGCAACGAACGCAGCGGCCCATCTGCGTATGGCCTGTTCGCTGAACTTATAAACCATATTTTTTAAGCTAATGAATAGTATTTTTCTCTTATGTTAAATTAGCCGACAGTAGTTTCAGCCATGGCTTATCAGCCGAACATGACGTACTCTTCCCACCTTATCTCTCCCCACTCCCCCCTCCCTCTGGCACGCACCAACGGGAGAAGAGAGAGGAGTCCGCGGCGAGATGGCGGGAATAGGAGGAATTAGGAAAAGGTTGGGCGGTCATTTTCCCCCGAGTTGATCTACCGCACCGCAACTGCAGCTGCCCCGAAAGCAATGGCGATCCGCGGCCGGGAGTCTCGTACCAGGTTTGGTCCGATCCGCGGCAGTTGGGCGGTAGGTCAGCAGTGGTTGGGAGACGCGGGCTCTTCTCGTTTCTTGCCGCCAAGGCTTGGTTCAGTTCCGTTCGTTCGACACGCATGACATGACCCGATTAAACTAAGCGTCGGCGTCGATCCTTCCGTCGTCACAACTCACAAGGCAACCACAGCCTGAGTCCACCAGGTCCCGGAGACCCTCGACAGCCGAGAGGGGAGGTCGGCGAAAGCTCCCTCCGTGAAAGCGAGGCGCCGGCCAGTGTGTTACGCGCCGCGGCCAGTGTGAATCTTTTCCTGGTTTCGTATCGAGGGGACAGACAGAGCCAGCCGTGAGCACATATGTCACCGCAGGGACGAGGGATCATTGGTCTACCCGAACCAGTTTTAAATGTAGCTGTAGGAAGTCAAATGGTTTTGTTTTCAGCTGACAGCGAGACGGTGTCGGTAAATAGGTTGAAAAATAGCCGTATCCGCAAGGAAACTTGTACTCGAATTGATGATTTTCTGTGTGGGCCAGTGGACGTTTATATGGAGGCTTTTGACGAGGGACGTTGGTTTGCTGAAAGTTCAGATGAATTTTGTCAGATCAGCCGTCATACTCCGCCCATTATTTCGTTATATGATCTCAGATTTGACCTTTTGATGTGAATGGGTAAAGTTTAGTATTGTTCCGATTCCGCTTGTTTGGCCACATGGTACCACCTCGAGAGTTGAGTGAATCAAGCTCACAGTTTAACATGAGATCCATTTTTTGCCTTAAGATTCACTCAACTATTTAAGATTCAGGGTAATTTCCTTCCGAACCAGGATACTGACCCATATGCTTTCTGTTTCATTGCATTACCATAACACAAAGATTCAGGATGTTGGTATAACGAGGCTTGTTTATAGTAATCTCTCCCTGGTCGGCTCTGCTTAATAATATAAAAATACCTCGAGATCTCGGAACAGAGCTTTCGCATATGTCACCATACCACAAGGGCTAAGAGCATATCCGAGATTTCCCTAAATCATTTCCTAATCTTTGGTTTTCATTAAGATGAGAAAAAACTCTCTCGAACAACTCTTAATCTATCCTCCTAATTTTTTGAACTTGAAAAAGTTACCCTGTTCCGCATAAAGTTACATGCTTCCGAGTCGGGCGTATCTTCTCTCTCCCGCGTATGTTTATCGACCAATCTAAAGGTGGAAGGACGTGAAAAAATAAAAAGTAGTATAGGATTCCTGATGCAAATGTATAAGAGAGAAAGAATATATAAAAGTGGTTAGGATAATTTAGAAATAGTATAGGATTCTTATGTAAAATTGTCTTTTATATTTTAGGAGTGCATTATTAGAAACTCTTAGAGATGACCTTCTTTATTCCTTTTAATACCTTTTTAGAAGTTGTAAAACTTTATGTTTTTTAAAGAAAATATTGGGTACTCTTAGAGATGCTCTAAGGATGCACATTAATAGCTTCTTCGGCTGGCATTAAATTCGTACTGTAGCAGCCAGAAAACACTGTAGCAGCGGGAATTTGGTGAGAGAAAACCACTGCTCCGGCTGGAAAAAAAAATGCCAGCTAGCCAGCCAGCCGAACACGCCGCAAGAAATTTTACTGCATGGTCAAATATTCAGTTACCACCATATAGGGTGCTAACAACGTAATTAGAACTCGACATAGATATATTTGAGCATCTTCAAGAGTTCCAAAAAAATACTCCTAAAAAGTCTATGTTTATCAATTCCTAAAAAGGTTTTAGAAGAAAATAAGAAGTTCATCTCCAAAAGTTCATAATATTTGACTTCTAAAAAATCAAATGCTGGTTCCATTTGACTTTTTTTTATGTAGTCTTCTTTTTTTTCCACGCGAACCTCTTCATCGCCGCGCGTATCCACGTCGCCGCCGCCTGCATCCATCGTCAGAGACGACGGACGCGGCTGGGCTGAGCTAAGCTGAGAGAGCTGCAGATGACATCTTCTTGCTGTCTTTCACCTCCTCTTTCTCTCTCTCCAGTCTCGCAAGAAGACGAGGAAAAAGAGAGAAGCAAGGAGCGTTTCGTAGGTTGTTTCCGCCAAGAACGACCCGGCCATCCCGGCGGCACGCGCTGTCTGTCTGGCAGCGACGCCGCGCCACCCCTGCTCCATGGTCGTGGGCCACCAGTGAAGCTCCCGCGTGGCCACGCGACGCGACCATGAAGCAATCCCGGCGAAGCTCGTGTCGCTACCGCGCCCGTCCCTTCCCAGCATGGCGCGCGCCGCTTCCCACCGGGCAGTAGCCATGCGAAGGTACCTCTTTCGCCACCTTCCTCCTCTTTGTGCGTGCGCGTCTGTCGCCCGGCCTCGACGGAACGCCGCGATCGCGACGCCATGAACAAGAAGTGTCGGCCAGCAAAGACGACGCTAGCGCCCGACCGCGCAGCACGGCCGGCGGCGGCTTCTTCTCCATTGTCAAGAGCGCGGCCACGGTGGTGGCAGAAGAAGAACCCGTCGACGCTTAACCCCGCTGCCGCCAAAGTCAGCTGAAGCAGAAAATGGCGGACCCGCCCCGTGACGCGCCGCGCCTCCACGCGCAGTATTTCATTCCGCGTAAAGTTACGCGGAAGAGGAAGAAATTTTCAAAGTCCTAAAAATTTAGAAGTAAATATTAGGAGTTGTTGGAAAATGTTTTTTCCCATTTTCTAAAAAAATAAGGATTAAAATGATATTTAGAGAACTCTTGAAGATGGACTTATATTTCTTCCATCCGTCTATTTTTATGTAAAAAGTCAGATAGATACATGGCATGGCAATATGGCATGACCCACCACCAGAGAGGTCCTTTAAGCCCCAAACTGTCGCCGACCAGCAGCTTTTAAAACCTTCCATCTCCCCTTGCTACTATGTACACGTGGCAACTAAACCTAAAAACGGCAAATTAAAACTCCTACTCCATTCACAAACTAACCCACGCACCATCCCATATTTACACAAGGATCCATCCCATCGAGCACGCACGTGCCCCCCTTGATGGCGTCCTCACGAGTAGGATCTTATGAGGCCGAGGCTGGCCAGGTTCTTCTTCACAAGGCTCCCGAGCGAGAAGATCCCCGCACCGCCGCCGCCGCGGCCCGCGTCGCCCTCCGTCGAGCACAGGCGCGGCCACCGCTCCTCGTCCACCCGGAGGCTCTCCGTGCCGATCCTCTGGATCACCTCGTCGATGGTCTTGGGGTCCGCGGGTCGGCCGGCCGCGTCGGTGACGTGGAACACGTTCATGGCCATGTCGCCCCTGGTGGTGATCTCGGCGTGCGTGACCGAGAGGCTGTTCTCCCGGAACACGCGCAACGTAGGCGAGCAGCCCGCGGCGGTCGGTGATGCGCAGCTCCAGCCTCACGCCCTGCGCACAGTCGGTCACAGAGGATCGCTCTGGCGTTAGAGAATAGACAGAGGTGTGCGGCTGGGGTTTCGGCCGAACACATGGTGGTGAAGTGGAAAGTTGGGCAGGGAACGAAAGAGACGTTGCGCTTGGGAGAGTGAAGGAGGTGGGGGGATCCGGAGTCGCGTGCTTTTGCTGCGGTGGCGTGGCATGGAGGGAAAGGAAGGGAGATATTCAGCGATCACGCACCTCGGATGCGCGCCTCTCGATGGCCGCTTGCAAGCATTGGATCACGCGCCGCCTCTCGGCCGCCGAGCTAATTGGCCGCCCGTCCAACCGCCTGATGTAGAACTCCTGCAGCCAAGAAACAGCATGTCAGCTTGTTCAAAAAAAAAATGGATATCAGCTTAGCTTCAGTGAGGGGGTGTTTGGTCGCCCCTCGTAAATTTTAATTTTAGTCGTTGTCCTATCGATTGTTTGATACATGTATGGAGTAGTAAATATAGAGCTAATTATGAAATTAATTACATAGTTTACGATTAATTTGCGAGACGAATCTTTTAAGCATAATTAATCCATAATTTGACAACGCTTGCTACCGTAAACATATGATAATGACGGATTAATTAGGCTTAAAAAATTCATCTCGTGAAGTACTGACGGATTATATAATTTTTTTATTAGTATCTGAACACCCTATACAACATCCTCTCAATACACCTCCTAAATTTTAATAGCCGGATCCAAATGCCCCCTTAATCAACCCGTGGTAAACAGGGTAACAGGCGTGCATATGCATAGGTATAGTGTCTGAATTTAATTTGCTGCACCGCAGCAGCAATTACTATGCTGGGTACAATTTTGAAGCAGAATAATCTAGCAATGCAAATGAAACTAATAAAAACTAAACATTCCGTTTTACAACGACAAGCCCAGAAAATTCAGTAAAAGGAAATTTTCATGAACAGAAGTTGGGTTAACTTCAAGCTTACACACAAGAATCACAATCAAAGCAACCAAAAGGTAAAAGTGGAGTAAAAGTGAGAAAAAAATTGACAGAAAGGTCCGACGCGCCTAAGGTAGCCAGTTACTATGGAAACATCGAGATTCCTGGCAGGAATTCCAACGGCAAGAACACCAGATGGCGGGGAATTCAGTAATGGCGGCCCTAGATCAGCGCGACAAAAATCAAGGTAGCACCGACCTATTTCTCCGGGAGGAAACAAAAATATTTGGGAATCAATCGAGAAAGAAAGAAACGGCTAGAAGGCTCACCTGCTGGGCGTGATCGCCGTCCGTATCGAACGTGCCGTGGTACACCACGTAATCCAAGTCCGTCAAGGTGCAGACGACGTCGAAGAGCAGCTTGGGCCGGTCACGGCAGCTCACGGTGACCACCGAGTACCCCCTCTCCCCCCAATCCTGCACGGCGACCGCCGTCTCCTCCGCCTGGTCGGCGCGGCTCTCGGCCTCCCCGTCGTCGTTGAGGAGCTGGTGGAGCCTCCGGTCCATGTTGACGGCCGCGGCGTCTGCCCGGACCATCCTCGCGCCGAGCGCGCCGCCGCGGAGGACGTGCCTGAGCCTGGACTCGACGCGCCTGACCCGCGCCGCGTCGTCGATGGGCGCGCCCGTCTCCTCGTCGCGCACGAACACGAGCGCGGCGACGCGGCCGCCGTGCGTCCAGGCCCTGGCGTCGGCGACGTCGCAGCGGAGGTCGCGCAGCACGGCGAAGACCTCGGAGAGGAGGCCCGGGCGGTCGGCGCCGACGAGCTCGAGCAGGGTGGGCATCCCAGCCCCCACGGCGGCGGAGGGCGGCGTGCGGGGCGGCAATGCGTCGGCGGAGAGCGAGGACTCGAGCCGCGCCAGCAGGGCGTCGGCGTCGGCGTCGGCCACCTTGCGGCCCGCGGCGTCGGTGACGTGGAAGACGTCCATGAACCAGCGGCCGTCGTCGGAGGAGATGTAGCCTTTGCGGACGCAGACGCCGTGGTCGGACAGGGCCGCCACCGCCTCGAGCAGCACGCCGTGCTTCCTCGCGCTGTGCACCTGCACCAGCGTCGCCGTCGCGCACACGCCGTTGTCCACCACCACCCTGCGCCAGCCATCGCCGACCGATCACCGACCGCTCTTTCCATGGAAGGATCCATCCAATCCAAGAACGCAGAAAAAAAGAGACGAAATTGGCCCCCACCCGCCACCCTCCCTTACCTCGGGGTGTTCATGTGGCGCACGAAGAGCTCGTACACCTCGGAGGGGTGGTACCGCTCCATCGCCGCCGGGAACCCTCTCCTGGCCTCGGCCTCTCCTCCTCTGCTCCGCTTCAGTTTCTCGCGACGCGGCGACGGCTCACTTTGGCGCGGGGGCGTGCGTTTCTTTCCTCCTGGGAAGGGCAGGGACAGGGAGGCGGAGATTTCGTTTCAGTCGGAGGGATCGTGGTGGATTTGGTTGGGACTTGGGAGCGTCGCGGCGGTTCAAAATTGGGTGCCGGGACGGTGGGTTTTCGCTCTGGTCTGGGCTGGCTGCCGCTCGCCGGGCCGTGGCCTCTCCGCCTGTGTCTGTGTCTGTGTGTGTGCGCGCGGTGCGGGTGTGGGGATCGCCGGGGTTGTCTCGGTCAGCGTCCGTCTAAAATGGGCGCGCGAGACCGGCGATTTCACGCAAGCCTTGCCACCGATTGGTGGGGAGCCTGGGAGGGGGCGGGCTCTGGAGTCAAACGGCGGTCGCGGGCGAGGACCGGGCGAACGGAGTGGTAAGTGGTTGGGCTGCTGGGGTTGGACCGAACTGGTCCTGCTGGGAAATTTTTTAGTTTTTGCCCCACTACTAGTAGTACTGGTAGGAGGCTACTACTCTAGTAGTCGTACACATGAGAAAGGGAGACGCTGCCCGGCTGCCGTGTGGAAAAAGCTTCTGGGATCCGGTGGGAAAGTGATGAGTCAGTGGCGTTGTCGTGGGGAGGGCGGGGATCGCCGCCCTCTGGCCCATGCGTGGTTGCCAGCAGGCACCTTGCAGGCAGCCTGGCGCCACGCCCACGCCCACGCCCACGCGCGGCGCGGAGAACCCCTTTTCCGATTCTTTCGTGCGTCTGGATGCACGGCCGGGTACAGCATACAGCACTCAGTTGCCAAACACTTTGTGCAGTGTATACAAACTACTACTAGTTTTAGCATCGCTGTTGTCCATTGGCCATTGCTTTCCATTCTTGCGAGAAGATGCGATGGGTGTATGTAACGCGTTCATACCTTCGAAACCTGCTTCGGTGTGATCCCGGGGAACGGAGGCAGCTACGAGCAGGGCCGCATCAAAGGCGCCAGAAGTTCTTAGGCGGAGAACGGGGGAAGGAAAAGGGAAATGAAAGCTACGGCCTTGGCGAGCCTTGATAGCACCGACCGGCAGCCTGATCGGTTGGCTGATTCGTTTCGTGGCTTGTTCGTGAAGAAGTATTGCTGCCTGATTTATGTGAGAGAAAAATAATATTTTAACTATAAATTTACAATCGTTTACGATAGGTCGCAGCCAAATAAACATGCTGCGGGGTCAACCACCACCGCCACGGCCTGACGGCCACCGCGCTCGGAGGAGAATACCACCACCACGCGCACGCGGAGCTGGAGCCCGTCCACACCACACCTGACACCTGCCACACACACACACAGCTTGCACGCGCGCACGCCCGGATTTCACTCGGTCAGAGAAAAACCGTCAGGGTGTTAGCACATTAGAAAAGACTAAACGGGTCAGGAATTCCAAGGATAAAGAGACTACTACGTACGCGTGGCCACCATGCAAATTAAAGAATTCAATGAGGGACTCTCATCACAGGTTCTTTTCACGGGAAAGGATGTGCCGGCGTTGATTAATCGAGGTTAGTTGGTGTCTAATCCATCCAGCAACAGTGGCTTCTGCTGCGACAAACGTGCGAATCGAAACACACATGTATAAACTAGGCTTTCCATCCAATCGATGTTGGGCCTTGTTTAGATCCTATCAAAATTCTAAGTTTTTTTACTTTCTCCCCATTACATTAATTTTTGGACACATGCATGAAGTATTAAATATAGGTAAAAAAATAATTAATTGTACAGTTTGGTTGTAAATCACGAAACGAATTTTTTAAGCCTAGTTAGTCCATGATCAGACAAAATTTGTTAAATACAAACGAAACGTGCTACAGTGTTCGGATTGCAAAAAATTACAATCTAAACCAGGCCTTGCTCGATCGATGCGATCGATCGCCCGTCGGGCTCTTTGGTTCCATTTCATTCCCCAACTGGATTTGCTTGCAAGTGAAGCACACGTTGTCATATGGGGCAGCAGCAGCAGGAGGTAGGAGAAATCTGGAGAGATATCATAATTGAAGCAATTCAAGTAGCATGAGTACCTGCAGATCTAGAGCCTGTTCGTTTGGTCGTATTTGATTTATAAGTCATGACTTATCAGCTAATGAACAGTATTTTTCTCTTACACAAAACCAGACGACGGTACTTTTAGTCATGACTTATAAGTCAAACAAATCCAAACGAACAGGGCGCTATTGTAATGATGCCGCCCTTTCCGCACATGCCTTTTTTCTCTTGCACAATTTTCCTCCCGTCCCTGCAGATCCTTTCAGGTTAGTTCTACAAGGTTGCGACTTTTGGGCTCATGATGATGAGGAACGAACATCACACGTGATCGTTCATTCGTTCTTGCTTGCAAAGTTACACAGTACACACATGCACATCGCTAGGTCCATTTTCAGCTCTGATCGTCATGTGTACCTGCACAAATCAGGTCGAAACAGCGGGATCCTTTGTCATTCCTTTCCTTGATCTGCGACCGCGAGGATGGTGTGAACACTAAACGTACGTGCGCGTTATTACAGCAGCGCGTAGTACTCGCAGTAAATTCGCCGGCGTTTCTTGCCGAAAGTGGATCGGAGGTGCAAGGTGATAAGATCGCCGGGGAGACGGAAAGCACGCCATCTATAGATGAGCTAGTGCCGCACCCGGCGTTATTTATTGGCCCAATGACACATACATTACTGGTGCGATAAGAATGTGACCCGTACGACATCATCGTGGCTGCTAGGCTACCGGATCACCATGCATGCATGTGACGATCCCGTATCGTAGCGAGACCCTCCTACTCATCCAACTTGCGCGTCACTAGGCTGGGGTACGTATGTCTAGGTCGGGACCGCAAGACCACGTACCGGCGGCGCACGAGAAAACGACCGTCTCGCCGCCCCGCTGCACCGGGAAACGCGCCCCCTGGATGGCGCCTGCCGGCCGGCAGATCGGTGCGGTGCGTTGCGTGCGCAGGTTGAGAAGCGCCGGCAACAAGGCCCCTACCCGTTGCGCTCCGACGCGAACACTTTCGTCGCGCGGTGGTGGCACCGGCAGTCCTGGCACCGAGCGTTCCGGTGATCACAAGTCACGTCGCCGGCCAAATTGAACGCCAGTGCTTTTGCTGTTCAAACGCGACGTGCACAAACGGCTTGGTTCGCCCTGTCCTCGCCTTCCGTACGTGGACAGGAACTCTGCATTGGCTTGGAGGCATCAGGCCCATGGCTTTGAACTCTGGAACCCACCCCATGTTACAGGCGACACCGTTGGCCGTAGCCCGCATGCCAGCGTGCCACGTACCCGGCGCCTTTTTGGAGTGTTTAACGTGGCTCGTACTGTTGCTACTTAAAAAAACGTGAAGCTCCTCCAACTTGGTTTCGTCAACATATCTTGTTTGGTACGTATTTGCTCTGTCCCAAAGGAACATCTATATTTAAAACACGTTCAGGTTTTTAAAGTTTGATTAACTTTTACATAAAACAGTATCAACATTTATATCTTCTAATAGATTTACAATAACGAGCTGTTTGGGTGTGCCAATGGAAACGCACACGAAAATGAAATTGACCTGCAAACGTTACCGGCGGAAATGAATTTGAACTAGCTGGCGAATGAAATTGTTTACGTTTGCGTTGCTGTACGAGAAACCAAACAGCTCGTAAGGGAGGGTGGTTACCCTATATCCTCTAACTGATTGATAATTAATCTGTTGAGGAAGAACAAGTAAAAGCTACAGTATAAAAAATAGGAGGTCATATGTATTGAGCTAATAAGAGACGGGATGAAAAGTATTGTGTTAGAAATGCTCTTAGGTTAACTTCAGCTTTACTACCCTAATTTTGACGGCTTTGTACGGTAGAACCACGGGCGGCAAAAGGGGGCTGGGGTACACGGCATCAGCCGAGATGACGTCGGCACGTGCAGTGCATTGTTGTGCGTGGCGCTACCCGATTGGACGTCGTGGCGACGTGGTGCGCCCTCGGGTTCCGTGTACGGAACGGCGCGTGGGGCAGCGCGCCCTCGCGTATGTGCGCGGCTCGGCTCAGGAAAAAGGGCAAGCAACGCGCGAACGTGTCGATGTCCCACGCGGTCACGTGAGCCGGCGCCAGAGGCGCGGCATGTGCCGAGCGCCAGCGACGCGGCGGGCCATGTGATACCGGTCTCGGGGCCGGGGAACCATGAGCGTGAGCCGTGAGGTGGGCAACGCGCGGCGCGACAGGCCGAGGCCGACGGCGACGGGCGAGGGCCGAGGGCCGTGGGGCGGGCGACGGCTCGCTAGGCTGCTCGAAACCGAGGAGATCGTCGATCGATCACACCGTTCACACGGGGGGAACCACGGCCGGCCAAACACTGGCCGCTGCCCGCGGCACGGCGCGGCACCACGCGAGGGCGGGCGCGCGCGCATGGCCGCATGTGCCCCCGGCTCGCCATCACCTCGCTCCATCTTTGATTTCTTTCCATGTGCCCGTGTTTCGCCGGATCGCGTTCGTGGATTAATTAATTTTCTCGCCGAGAACATCGCCGTGTTTTTCGTTCCCGCAAATTCGTTTATTTTCCCGCCGCATCATCTGGATTCGGCAGGGGCGGACGAAAGCGATAGTGCCGATACGTACTAGCAGCGTGCATTAGTATTTCTGATTAAGGAACCTGATGCGTGCTGGTTTACTAATGATTCATAGATTCTGAGATAAACGCAAGCAGGATCCTCCGTCCTCCACAATCCTGGAGGACAGCGACACCCTCGTCCTTCCATTCTTTGTTTAAGCAATACCTTAGCACGAGGTCCGATCCGTGCTTTACTTTCGGTTGCGTCGGTGATGTCGGCCAGCTGGACGAACAACCGCTTTTTTCTTCAGGCTTTACTTTACCCTGGCCTCGTGGTCAGAGAATCCTGGTCGATCACTGGTACCTACTCGTCACAGCAGGGCGAAGCTGGTGGCTGTTCGTTC